AAATCCGCGAAATTCACGAAATCCGCGTCTGTTGTAACAGCCCTGCACATAGACTGGGATGTAACAGTAACATTGCAAATTTTTTTTGAGGTTTTAAAGCATGTCTAAATCATGGTTTACAGAATCCTCATACGACTAATAAAAGGCTTCGGCAAATTATTAGTCGGATTATTATTAACCACGCTTGTTAATTACTTGGGATTGCCCCTACTTTCTTCCCATCAACAAAATCGAACATTTTATATTCAGAGTTGTGCTTTCACAAAATTATAACTTTTGGTACATGTGACCTGAGTTCAATATTTAATCATAATCTGCTACTTCAAGCAATCAAAAATCCGTCCTTCCAAGCAGGATCATAATTCAAAAATTTCATTGGATAGCTTAATGTCTGAATTTATCCGGCTCTTAAGAGGCAACTAACCATCACTCGATTTGCTTTTGCTTCTTCTTCTTGTATTCCTAAATCATCACTTTCTAAAAGTATTGGTAAAATTCGTTGGTAGTGTGCGTCGACGTGCTAAAACAGTCAATGAATCATAAATATCAACTGGTATGGTGAGCAAAATCTACCATCTCTTTTATTCTTTTAATTTTCAATACAACAGCAAATGTGACGTCACACATGCAAGCGTATAAGAATGTCGTAGACAAAACATTCACACTGCCAGACAACGCTGTACGGCATTTTGTTTACACCCCTGAGCGGGAAAGCCAATAACTGGCTACATGCAATGCTGCCATCTTCCCTTTTTGTGTTTAATTCAATTTTTTTAACCTTTGCAAATGGAACGTTTATGTTCTAAAAAAGTTCCTTTTAGTTTTATTTATTCAGTGTTTGATATTCATTCACCATTGAAATCATCCACTCATCTATGTTATTGGTTGAAACTTAATATTTGCATGTTTTAATAAACTTATGTTGACTGCTAGACGTAATACATCTGGCAACGCTTGTTCAATGATTCTTTTACGTTCCCTAGCAAAGAAGTGGAGTCGGAGTGATTTTCTTGGTGTTTTATTTTGTTCACCAAGAGATTTGACCTCCAGTTTTTATTCATTTTGTGTATTCGATTACGTGAAATTGTTGAATGCTACGAAGAACACAAGTAATCGAATGCAGTGATAGTGTTTTACCCAGAAAATATACGATGTAAAATCATGAAATACTTGCTTTAAATTTTCGAATAGCTTGTGTGTGAATGTATGTGTATACTAATGATGATGATTGAAGAATATTTCAAAAACAAGAAGAATCCTATTTGATTGACTGTGTTTTGAGCCTTAAGCACACAATGAGAAACTAGAACTGCAAGTATTCAGAAATATATCTCTTATCTTTTTTCCATTCTTAAATTTACAAAAAGACGCTCCAAACAATTTTAGGAGTTTTTTTTATTACTATAGTCACTTTAACGCTCTTGGGTCATTCGTGACTTGTCTAGGGGTGAGATTTGAACTCGTGACTTTGGCGTGAGAGGCACGGATTCTAACCACTACACCAGGGTCGCCCCCCTTCTGAGGTTTAATTTTTGTTGAATCGAGCATGGAGCATGAATTTTGTCACAACCAACAAAGTATAGGTCTACTCAAAGATGTAAATAGATTTTTACCGATCCTCTGAATACCACTTCAACTCAGGGACGGCCCAAAATCACCAAAATTAAGTTCACCAAGCAGAATGTCACGAACACTAGCGTGTAAAATCATAGTTCTTACAGTAATGCATCTGTAATTTTGATACTATACATATGCAGCTGGAGAAGACTATGTTCCTTATTTAACCAATTAAAATAATTCATTTGAGCACCCACAAGCTTACGATTCTATGGATTTTATTAATTTACAAACATCTTAAAACTATACCGAGTAATCAAATTGTATGAGACTAGCGAGATATGTAATACTGTTCAAAGAGGATTAAGAAATATTTCCCTGATTTCTGAAGAAATTCCCTGTGATTTCCTGATTTTCCAGGATTGAAATGGAATTCCCTGAAATTCCAGGTTTTCAGGTAGTCGACACCTTGCCGGATATCTGATCTTGAAGTGCTGCAGATTCAATAAGGTATACGATGATTCGACTAAATGATAGAATGGTTAAACCTTCGTGAAACCCCTTAATATCATTAATTTTGTTTATTAGGTTTTCCAAAATGCCTGGAGTTCAGATCTTTATTTTTTTTATTTCGTTTGGCGTGACTATAACCAAACGAAATTAAAAAAAAAAACATGAATGCTATCGGGGTAGGAATAACGGCAAAATCACTAATTGCCCCGTGCACGAACATATTGCGAGTGAGAGCAAAATGTGCAATAAATTTGTGGATTTTTTAATACTTTACCACAGTGAAAGACATAATATTAAAGTTATGAACATATGTGTTAACATGAGAATATAACGGTATATGTGATTTAAAATTGATTGATTCCAAGTAACATTGCTTGTTTTAAAAAGTTTTAAATGATTCTTCAAATCGAAATCTCGACTAACATTGTTACTTGGGACGATTATTTATGATCTTTCCCGGTGCAATTTGGATTTTCCCGCATTTCTCCCGGTTTTTTCCCGGTAAATCCGAATTCCCGGTTTTTTTTCCGGATTTCCCAGTTATCCCGGTTGGATGGACACCCTGATTTTGTTACTGGACATAGTGACTAACATGTGAAAATGGTAAAAAATGTAGAAAATTCATAATCATTATTTTTTGAATTCGCATTAACTAGAGAACGGCTGGACATAAGAAAAAGTTTATATGAGCAAATTTATCAAAATTGATGCGTGTAAACAAAATAAAAAAATATTATTTTAATAAGGGGCGACCCCGGCGTAGTGGTTAGCATCCATACCTCTCACACAAAAGTATCGAGTTCAAATCTCACCCCCGGACAAGTCACGAATGATCCAAGAGCGTTAAAGTGACTATAATAATAATAAAAAAATATTATTTTAATAAGAAATATGCAATTTAAATCAACTGAAAAACATCTATGAAAATTAAAAAAAAATAAACAAGTTATCCGCGTACATCTCTTCACGAAATTTAAGGGCTTTCTTTACAAAAGAGAATATAAAAATCTAAGCGGGCGTGGTTTGATAAAATCAACGTTTTATGTTTCTAGAGATGAACTAGCCTAAGGCTAAAAATCTCTTAAATAAAGAAAAAAAAAAAAAAAAAAAAAACGTTTTATGTCTTCAACTTTGAATTTACTGCGTTTTGTCTTTCAGTGTATTTTTTCTTCAAAGAACATTCAATTACCTACAACTTTTTATCAGATGTCATTTTGATCAAATCAATCATTTTCATATAAAATGATCAATTTTTTGAATGCACCTTTTTCAAAAGTTGCTCTTGAGAAAAAATATATTTCGATGAAAAATGCAACCACTGATGGCAGCGAATATGTGAGCAATGTTTCATTCAAATCATTCCAAACTGACATTTTTTTAGTGGTTTGGGCTGGAAAATCTCCAGAATTTTTTTCAATCGAGATCTCTTGTTGGAGCTTTGGGACCCCTTAAATAGATACACGCATCATTTGTTGGTCTAAAAGTAATATACAGCAAGTTTGCCACCCCTGCCTCCCTGCTGCACACTGACCATTTCAATATCAAATAAAAGGTTTGCCCGAAACTGAACTCAAACATTGATCTTTCACCCGTTGACTAGAGGCATCCCGTGAAGCTTGCTATTATTAATTAACCACCCAAACACGGCAACGATGACGACAGTTCGAAAGAGCACGAGTAGGAGATCGATCTGCGAAAAAGCTTCGCAAAGTCGAAGGTCGTGCAGTTTCAAAAACTAATTAATTTTCCTCGAAAAATCTTCTGAAAACAAGACAACGACCAGCCCGGGCCCAAACGCGCCGGCTTGAGGAAGTGCAGCGCGACGCTGGTGTTGGACACGACCAACATCTTTCGCGTCGATTTGACTCATCGCTGCACTGCATCCTCATTCTCATTCGCAAATGAGCTGAAGGATTGGCGGTGGCTGCAGTGGGCGAGACGGGCAGCAAATTGCAAACCATGGGTTCGTCTTCTCTGCTGTTCTTCGCTTCACATCGCATTCGGACCGACGGACGAACGCGCAGATGTTCCCTGGGATGGAGCCACGCGGGACGGGAGCATGAAGTCCAAGGGAAAAACAAACAAAGGAATGAAGAATTGGAGGAAAATTTATGATATCAGCACCCGAACGATCTTTGGGCGGTTCGCGCGCGTTGGCTACACGGGCTCCAACGTAGAGAGAGGGGGGCGGGCGACACGCAAAAGTCTGAATTCCGTGAAAAGTGAACCTTACCGGGTTAAGGCAGCATCAACGACCACGGGGCGGTCAACTCGACTCAGCACCCAACGAAGAAGCTGATGATGCTGATGATGATGATGATGGTAATGAAGGCAGAAAGCCGGCAAACGGAGGGCGAGAAGAAGTCAAGTCGCTTGAACCTTCTTCCTTCCTCTGCCCGGTGGGGCTACGGGCAAACTTCTTCGGATGGGCAGTTTCGCGTGCAACAGCAGCGTCTTCTCTCGTGAAGGTGGAACTCGATGATAGGCGATCTTGTTTGGCTAATGAGATGATTTTTTCGAAGAGCGAACAAAAAAGCCACAACACCACGCAAGGCTTCACCGTGCGGTGTGTTCCCGAATTTAATTAGGTTAGCATTTCTTTTGTTTGGGATTATTAATTTGATTTAATTAAATTTTTTCTCGGTTTCCGTTTCGGAACGCCGGACTGGGCGCGGGTTAAACGGTTGACAAACGGCCACGTCCAATCGGAACCAGGTGGGAAGGTGGAATGGAAAAATTGATAGTTTAAGGCACACGGTTGGCATGAATTTACATTTAAAACGGTGGCAATGAGGGGCTCTCCCTCTCGCCGAAATGTTTGATGGTTTGGGAACTTCCCATGATAGACATAACTAAGGCACCGCAACAAAGTTTGTTGTTTGCATAAATTCAATTGTGACTTTAGGCCTATGGTTTGATCATTAACTTACCTTTGATAATGGATCCAAAAGACGGGTGTAGATTAAAGTAAGAAATAGTGAAGTAGTTTGCAGCTGTTGATAGAGGCCTAGCTCATTGTCTAATGATTAGCACCTGGAAGGAGAGGAGAATGATGTAACATTAATTATTGTTTCTTTTTTCGGTGATAAACATCATAATTGCATTTTCGTAACAAGTCACAAGTAGCATAACACAGCGGTTCGCAATCGTTCGTCAATTGCGGCCCACCTTGAGAATTTATTTACGAGCCACCATGTTGTTTTGTAAATGAGAATATTTTTTGCATTTAACAACTTAGAAGAACGTTGAATTTCGGCATCTGGAACGTTTATGAAGCTTTTTCCGACTTTGGAAAGTGCAAAGAATTGATTATCGGCTTCTACGATAAGATACGATTTGCAGCTTCGGCAGCTTATTGGAAATGATTTCCGGCTTTTCTACTTATAAGAGACAGGTTTTCAGCGTATAACAAACGATTGACGGCTTCTACTTAGAGGGTATTCTCTAAAACTGGTTAAATTCAACAGAATCGATATCGGATTAATGCAAAACGCATGGCTCAATTAGCTTTATTGGGAACCCTCTAGAATGAGTTTTGGGATATTTGAATTAACTACTTTCCGTATTTACCTGCTTTTACCATCTAATCGATTTGTTTCATATGTTAATCTTTCGTTTTTTAAATCGTTCATTTAATACCAATAAATCGAATATTATAACCTGTTAAATCACTCACCTAATCAAGTATCCCGAGCAAAAAATTCCACATGTCAAATGAAATCAAAATAGTATTTTTTTTCCTCTGTTCGGGACCTAACACCACTGCGACCAGTAATTTGATCTATTGTAATATATCCCGTGTCCTTAGTTTAGTGTATGTCGTATTACTCCATCACTATTGAAAATTTATGAAGTATTCGGTTTTGGTACAGTTGTCATTCTTGCATTTATCGCAATGATCCGACTCTAATTGAAAGGTCTCACTATTTATACCCTTCGGAGTGTTGAAACACCCTACAAAGGTGAACTCCCTTGTCAGTCAAAATTGGATTCCTTAGCAACAAAATTAAGGAATGACACCGATAATGACCATGCATCAGAACACTAGTCTTAACCACTTCAAACTAGGGAACATCGAATATAAGACTAGGAATCACATAGACGAAGACTAACTAACTCAGTTTTTCCTTGTTTCAAGATCATCCTCGGTGGAAAAAGCCGAGTCTTGTCACTATCAACAAGGCATAAAAAGTAACAAGGACTAAGATGTGTTCTTTTGATTACTGAATAATCCTGTTCCCCTAGATTGAAATAGTCAGGACTAGGACTCGGTGGTAGATCTTACATCCCGTAACGTACCACGAAAAGGTGATCTACCCACATTACGGGGCAAATAGTCATTTAATATCTATATTCTCATCTTGTATGTATGTTGCACTCACAGCTCTTACTGCGTACACTGAATGACTACTATAAGTGAAATGTCATTACAAGAAAGCTTATGTAACGTAATACATAATAACGTAACGCTTATGAATCGATTCAAAAATATCGAATCAAAATGATTGATTAAATCGGTGAATCGATTACTTAAAAAAAAACTACGGTTGTACGCAATGGTGACGTAGAACCAACAATCAATACGAAACTAACGATTTTAAATTGGCTCACCACTTTAGTAGCCTATTGGTCCCAAGCAAACGATTAACGTACCCTATTCTAGTTGAAATTCTATTACTACACTATATTTGTTTTGATTCGCTATGAAAGTTTGACAGATAACATCAGGGGTGTGTGGATTCATGCAGAACATGCAGGGGTGAGTGAAATAGCTTGGGACTGCTTGGGACCGTTGTTCTGGTACTGAGTGAGCCAAAAATAATAATGATTTTCTTCGGGACCCAGTGGTCTTAGAGTTACCTCTATGGTAGAACTACGTGATCTTATATAATAAATGTTATTTGTGAACTGCAGCAGGAGCTTGTGTTTTGTGTAGGAATAAGAATTCGAGCGGGGTTCGCTCTGTGTATACTCTTTAGTGAAACTATGAATTTTAGTTAGGACATGTTCAGAAATTTAACTCTTTTTTTGAAAATCTGGGTGGCCCTGAAAAGTGCCGATGATAGTACAGCCTTTGGAAGGTGATGATGCCATGTAGGCAGCTGGATCAGCAAATCGGTTCAATGATTGGGCACTCGCAAGAGTCTCGGCCCGTCTGCTGCTGGAGAGGGGTTGAACTGGTGCCTGGTTGGAAGGCCGCAGAATATCAGTGCCCACCCAGCCCCTTTTTAGTTTTTCTCGTTCAACTCCTTCTCTCTACAAGTTGGTAAATCTTAGCCTTTAGCAGTAAGACGCTTAACACTTTTTTCAGTGAATTTATGATTCTGTTTCACGTCATGGTTTTTTTGTATGTCTGTTTTGATAAATTAGTACTTATATTAATTTTCTCTGCTGCGCTAAATCAAACGAGTAGAAATAAGAAGGGATGTCGGTTACGCGTTGAAATAATTGAAAATTCGATAAATATTTAATCGAATAGCTGAAAATAGCGTAATTTATTTGTGATCCTTCGAAAATGGCGAACAGCAGAATTGCAACCAGCAAGAAACAAAAGCGGTTCGATGCTAATTTTCATTGCTATGACGACGACTGAATTAAGGGGCTTATAAGTAGAGGGGTGAAGTCAATTGTCTTCGTCGATTTCTTCTTGTGGTGACCATAGCTTCACTAACCCATTTCGCACTATTTCTGCTATGCTCTTCTATCATCCAGAGCAACAAACGTATCAATGAATGTGTTTCCCGTCAAGTTGAAAACAAAACAGAAAGTCGATCAAAATCACTTGCTCCTCTGCTTTCAAGTTTGGTTATAAGATTACAAACTCTGGAGAGCATTTTGTGTGGTTGCTGGGGGCGTATGGTTCTGAATATGGCGATGAGTGTGCAAAATGTTACGCAATTGCATCCTCCATATTTGCACACGCCTGAAGATTGGAAGCGAATGCCACTTGAATTTGTTTCTTCTTCTAACGACTCTCTTATGACTGTGTTGGGAAAGCTGCATTTGCAATATGCATGTACGTAATTGGTGGATTTGTTAGTTATTTCAACGCTGTTGGACAATGCTTGACACCACACCACTTTTTCAAAAGTTTCTTGTTGAAAACCAACAGTCACAGCATTGTTATTGACGTTTTAAAAATATTACTGATCGATTGGTGATAAAATTGTTGAAATTGGTCCAGGGACAGCTGAGTTATTAACTTTTAAAATCTTTCATAATTTCGTTACATGTTCCACTTTCGGTTTTCACAAAGTGTACCCCCATATAGAAATCACAGACGTAGTCCTACGTCAAAATGAATCGATTCACTTAGATCGATTCTTGCCTCAAGATCGCCCAATGCTAGTCCCTTACACGTCACCAGATTCAAAAAAATACCCAAATTGTGGGGTATTTGATAATATTTTCCAATTTTTCTGTAACTGGAAGCCACCATCTTGGAATTCAGAATATGAGACGTGAGACATCGAATTCCGCTTCCTACACGTCACCTCGATTCCAAAAATACCCAGTTTGTGCGGTATTTGGCAGTGTTTCCCAGTTTTTCTGTAACCGGAAGCCACTATCTTGGATTTCAAAATGGCGTCAGACATTGATTTCCGGTGTCTACACGTCACCCTTTTGTCCATATGGCGGGTTATTTCCCAGTTATTTTAATTGGAAGACTCCATATTGGATTTAAATGTGACATCATGCATGAATTTACTGTCCTTACACGTCACCCGGATACCAAAAAAACCAATATTGTGGAGTATTTGACAGTATTTTCCAATTTTTCTGCAACCGGACGTGCTTTTTACTTGTTTTACTTGTAACTTACAAGAAGAGGTTACACAGATCGCTGAGTGCGTGAGTGTGTGAAAAATTGCTGATTGTGACTCGCATGAAGTGAAATAAACAGGTTTAATATGTCAAACACATTCTTTGCAACCTCTGCTCAGGCATGGAAAATCATTTACATTCATTTCATGCATTCATTTACATTCATTTGCCTCTAACTTTTTTCATCAACAGCATTTCACAAAATGATGTATAGAGCTTTTGTAGGTTTTGTTATTAACTACAACTTTAGTTTGAATTCAAATTTTTATCTCTTATGCATCACTAACTAGAGTGGGCAGAACTTGTAACTGTTTTGCAGTGAATGTAAAATACATTCACTGAAAAACAGTAGTGGCTTTTGTTCGCTCTGGTTCGTCATGCATAAGAGATGCGGATTTGAGTTGTTTACAAACGTTGTAGTTAATAACAAAACCTACAAAAACTCTTTACATTATTTTGCGGAATTCTGTTGTTGGAAAAAGTTAGGGACAAATGAATTTAAATGAATGCAAATGATTTTCCATGCCTGCCTCTGCTTGTATCTTACCTATTCAAAATATGATGATAGCATCTAATTGTTTCATAATTTAAAAAAAAACATTGTTTTAGCTGAAATGAGTATTTGCAAGCTTGCTGGACGGCACCATATTGGTTTTCAAAATGGCGTCATATATCGAATACCGGTTCCTACACTGTACCCTGATTTCAAAAATACCCATTTTGTGGTGTATTTGGCAGTGTTTCTCAGTTTTTCTTTAACCGGAATCCACCCTCTTTTTTATTTCAAAATGGCGTCATTTGGCTATTTCAAAAATACCTATCTTCAGCCATTTCATAGCAAAACGAAATAGTGATTCTCAGAATTTTGAAAAAATTGGTAGTTTTGTTCCTTTTAATTTTGTCATTAGGGTGACCATTTCTATGTTAGAGAGGTCCAAAAAATATTTTTTTAATTATTTTTCTTTTAAATCTCTTAACTTTCGAACCATTAGGCCGATTTCAAAGAACAACATATCAAATGCAAGGTAATCGAAATTTGTTTTTATTAAAAATATAATAATATTTGAAAATCAATAAATCAATATTTTGTATGTTTTTTTATGGTTTATATGGTTTGCAGTTAGAGGGTGTTTGTATATTTTTCCTTGAAAATTTAGGCTTTCTTAAACAACATATAAAAATTCAGCGATGTGTTGTTTTTCATTTTT